GCCGAGATCTCGCCTTTGCACTCCCGCCTAGGCAACAAGAGCGAATTTCTGCCTCAAAAACAAAGAAAAAGAAAATTAAAACTGGGAGGTAGAGGTTGCAGTGAGTCGAGATCATGCTGCTGCATTCCAGCCTGGGTGACAGAGTGAGACTCTGCCAAAAAAAAAAAAAGTAGTTAGTGTCCTACAGTGCAATGAAAACAAAACCTTAAAGGTTATGTTTTCTACCAGACAGAAATCATTTTAACTTATCAATTTTCTGAAGGCTAACATCTAACTTTATAGAATGGGTGCCCTAATTGCTGGTAAATAGAAAGTCAAACAAGGTGATGGTTCCGTAGAGCATAAGATAACTTTTAGGCAGGCAGGTTAGACAGTGCTCTAGTGTAACTTTTTTTTTTCCTCTGGAATCTGGGGTCTTGCCCTGTTATTCCAGGCTTGAGTACAGTTGTATAATCATGGCTCACTGTAGCCTTGAACTCTGGCCTCAAGTGATCCTCCTACCTCAGCCTCCCAAGTAGTAGGGACTACAGGCATGTTAACAGCAGGCCCAACCAAGTTTTTTTTGTTTTTTAGAGAGATGGAGTCTTACTATTTTGTCCAGGCTGTAATGCAGTGGCACAATCATGGCTCACTGCAGCTTCAAACTCCTGGCCTCAAGTGATCCTCCTGCCTGCCTTTGCCTCCCAAGTAGCTAGTATCATAATATAACTTTAAAGAGGTACATAACTTTTTTTGATCTTAATTCCAAGTTTTATAGAACTTTTCTTTCTTGTTTTCTTGAGACAGTCTTGCTCTGTCACCCAGGCTGGAGTACAGTGGCATAAACTCAGTTCATTGCAGCCTCCACCTCCCGGGCTCAAGCAGTCCTCCCACCTCAGCCTCTCTAGTAGCAGGGCCTACAGGTGCATGCCACCATGCCCCACTAATGTTTGTATTATTTGTAGAGATGGGGTCTCGCTATGTTGCCCAGGCTGGTCTCAAACTCCTGAACTTGAGCAATCTGGTCACCTCAGCCTCTCAAAGTGCTGGGATTACAGTCATGTGCCACCACACCTAGCCAATAATTTTCTTCAACAAAATAAATTACAATTGAGTTCAAGAACTAAAAGATCGCTAGATCATCTGAGGTGGAAAAGAGTCCTTGGTAAAAGTAATTATAAGTAGTTTTGAAGTAGAATTGTGAAATTGGGAGTTTGGAGAAAGGAAGAGGGTAGTCACAAGTAGAAAAAAGGAGGCATGACACTTATATTCAAAGAAAGATTGCCCCACCCCACCCCTCAAAAGCATGTACAGAAAAGGGAGTGAGTATTTTTCCAGGGTGGATGATGAACTAAGGTGGACAGGAAGTGAAAACCCTTAGAACAGAAGGGCACAATTCATAGGAAGCTTGGAAGCTTGTTTTTAAGAATTTGATTTAATTTAAAAGGCTTTTGGATGAACAAGATACCCAAAGAAGACGATTGTCACTGGGCAGGAGATTGCAATTATTGCTTGCATTTTAGGGCTTCTCAATTGAAGGATGTAGTTGAAAGAGCCCAGTTCCTCAAGACCCGTCTGTCTCCAAAAAAAAAAAAAAAAAAAAAAAAACAATGAAAGTGGAGCTGCAGATCCCTCTCCTGTTCAGACTGTGAGAGCTGGCTCAGGTCCCCTGCTGTAGTGGCCCAGGAAAGCCTGGACTTGCTTTTTCCTACAGAGCTGACTCCCTCCGGGGCTACCATGAAAGGCTGGAGAGAGAGCCCTAGACAGAGAAGCCAGGAGACCATTTGAGAATTCCTTTGGGTTTCTTTCCTTCATGATTCCCTTTCTTCTCATTCTGAATTGTTTTATTTATTACGTAATATTTGGTATATGCAAAGGAATATATGACACCTTTGTGTATGTTACGAAACACAAGTATTTGAGGATCCCCACCTCCACCCAGTTTTCCTTTGTGGTTTCTTTGCCAGTAAAAGAGTTCACTCATCCGTTGCTTAAAATATAGGATGCTTGAGTCACCAGTTTGCCAGCCTGTGTCATTCAGCACCTCCTCCAGACTCTTCCCAGGAAGGTGACCCAAAATCCCCTTGAAGTACATGATACTGTCCCTGTGCTCTGATGTGCCCCCTGGTGTTTCAGAGTGGAGTGATTTTTAGACAGCAGTTTGCCTCTTAAAACCGTCCCTTTGTTTCCTACATTATTGCTTGCGTTTTAGGGCTTCTCATTTGAAGGATGTGGTTGAAAGAGCCCAGTTCCTCAACTGCTCCTTTGGGTGACTAGAGTGAGGGTAACTGATGTTTTTGGTCCTGGAGAAAGCAGTGGTGATCACAAATAGCGGAATGGTAGAGAAATGGTTATCTCACATTGACCTTCAGGTTTGATACTAGTCTACATTTGGTTTTAAAAATAATTATTAGAAAAAACATTGTAGATGGGGAGACGGGATCATTATAATGAAAGTTCTAGACATTCAGTCAGGATACTTGTTGGGAATTAGATTTTGCATTAATTTCCCTCAATGGTTTTAGTCCATCTCATTCCCAGTGGCCTACACGCATCACACACCATGCTTATTTCTATGTTCTTGTATTTGTTGGGCAACTCTAATATGAAAGCTAAAAAGAACAAAACGTTACAAATGAAGAAAGTTTCAGTGAATATTCCTGTAATCTTGAGGGTGAGGGTTTTTCTTTTTTTTTTAAGCCCACAGCACCCGGTATTCCCAGGCAGTCTCCCATCCAAGTACTAACCAGGCCCGACCCTGCTTTGCTTCCGAGATCTGACGAGATCGGGCGCATTCAGGGTGGTATGGCCATAGACGAGGGTTTTTCTTAAGTGTCACACAGAAGCCATGTGATTTCACTATACAGTATAAAATTTGTGTATAGTCAGTTCTGCTATAGTACAACATGTGTATTTCTAAAAATCACCATGCTATGCAAAACCATGCAATAAAAAACAGAGGGGGAGCGAGCATGTTGGCTCATGCTTGTAATCAGGAGGCTAAGGTGGGAAGATCGTATGAGGCAGGGAGTTCAAGACCAGCCTGTGTAACAAAGCAAGACCCCATCTCTCTGATAAATAAAAAATAAAAATTATCTGGGCATGGTGGTGTGTGCCTGTACTCCCAGCTACCCAAGAGGCTGCAGTGGAGGATCCCTTGAGCCTAGGAGGTGGAGGCTGCAGTGGGCTCTGATCATATCACTGCACTCCAGCCTGGGTGACAGAGTAAGACCCTGTCTCTAAAAAACCAAAACCCAGAACTTACTGGGAAATGGAGGATTAAAGATCACAACAATAAAAAATTTCATACATGACCAAAAAAAGGAAAGACTTATTTTTTAAAAAAAGATAGGGACCTAATGGTCAGACATGGGGGCTCATGCCTGTAATCCCAGCACTTCGGGAGGTCGAGGTGAACGGATCACAAGGTCAGGAGATTGAGACCATCCTGGCTAACATTGTCTCTACTAGAAATACAAAAAATTAGCTGGGCATGGTGGCACGCGCCTGTAGTCTCAGCTACTCGTCAGGCTGAGGCAGGAGAATCAACCCAGGAGGTGGAGGTTGCAGTGATCTGAGATCATGCCACTGCACTTCAATTTAGGCGGCAGAGTGAGACACTGTCTCAATTTTAAAAAAAAGATACCGAGGCAGGTGGATCACCTGAGGTCAGGAGTTCAAGACCAGCCTGGCCAACATAGTGAAACCCTGTCTTCCAAAAAAAAAAAAAAAAAAAAAAGATAGGGACCTAATAAAACAGCCATACAGTTTTATAGAACAGAAAAACTAAGAAATACGTAAATGTCACAATGTAAAGGCACTTGGGCTTGAAAAACACCTGAGGTTTGCTTGTGGGAAGTAGGTGTCATTAGGTTACAGCTTGGAAGTTATCAGGAAGGGGTAGAAGCAGGGCTCTCTGAAGTCTGATGGAAAGTGCTGATATAAGTGTGACAGATGTGATTCATAACACATGCAGTGACCTGATGAAGCTGGTAGATGTTTAAGGTGCATGTGTGTGTGCACACACATTTTGTGCATTCCTGCATGCTCATTTCAGCTGAATAAGGTTTTCTCTATTTCCTAGTATTCATCTTATACATAAGCAAATGCAAAACTTAACGTTATGCTCAAATTGTTGCTGGATATATCTGATGCATTGGAACAAATTCACATTTTCAAAGTAGAGTTAAAGCAAAAGAGTCAAAAAAAAAAACCCAAAAAAACCCCACCATGAATAATGCATACTAGCTAATACTAAGTGCCAGGCATGGTGCCATAGATTCCACATGAGTTATCTCAGTAACGCCATGAGTTAGCTATAATTGTTAGCCACATTTGTACAGATGAGAAATACTGCAGCTCAGAGAGGTAAAACTTGCCCCAGGTTCCAAGGGTAGGATATGGTGATTCTCTATTGCCATGTCATTCTTTTTTTCTGAACATATTAAAAGAGAAATAACAAAGTAGGGGAAATACTTGCAGACATATAAGAAAGAACAAATATCCATAATACCTGGAAGTTTTTAAAAACAGTAAAAAAAAAAAAAGACAAAATAGCCAGATAGAAAAATGGACAAAGGTCAAGAGCAGGCAGTTTACCAAGGAAGAAATACAAATCTCAATAAAATTGGGATTTAAAAAAAAAAGACTTTTGGCCTCAGTTAGTACTCAGTCATGCAAGACAAAACAATTCCATGTCGGTTTTTTCCATTATCAGATTGACAGAAATGGCTGTGGGGAAACATTAGCAGGAGCATAGATTTTTGAAACCTTTCCAAAGCACGTATACTGGTCCTTCGACCCAGCCATCTAACTTCTAGGAATTTATCCTAAGAACATAGTCAGATAAGTGGGGGATAAAAAGAGTTGTTAATAATGCTGAATAACGGGGTGTGGTAGCACATGCCTGTAATCCCAGCACTTTGGGAGGCCAGTAAAGAGGATCGCTCAAGCCCAGGAATTTGAGACCACCTTGGACAACATAGGGAGACTCTGTCTCTTTAAAAAAAAAAAAAAAAAAAAGGTTTCTTTAAAGTTAGCCAGGTTTGGTGATGCATGCCTGTACTCCCAGCTACTCGGGAGGCTGAGGTGGGAGAATGGCTTAAGCACAGGAGGTAGAGGCCTCATTGAGCCACACTCACATCACTGCCCTTGAGCCTGGGCAACAGAACAAGACCCTGTCTCAAAAAAAAAATAGTAATAATGATAATGGTGAAAAATGGAAGGCAATCATCCATCATCATTGAATAAATTAAACAAATTTTAATACGCTAATACTGTACGATGGCATACAACATGATGCTGTGGGACTCTGAGAAAGATAATGTTCATAATGGTTGACACTGGACGTTCTTCACATTTTATTAAGCAAAGGGAGCAAGGTGCAAAGTAACATATTCAGTGTGATCTCATTTTTGTAAAACCATTTGCATGCATGTATGCATGCTTATGTGTGCAAGCAAGCCTTGTAGAGGAAGAAGTGTAGAAGGGCACACGTTAAAACATTGACAATGAATGACTCAAGAGTAGTGGAATTGCTGGATGGTTTTAATTTTTGTTCTTTTCATTTATATGTTGCCTAAATTTTTCTTTAGTGAATATATTACTTTTATGATTTTAACAAATGATTTAAAACAGAGGTGGGTGCGGTGGCTTACACCTCTAATCCCACCACTTTGAGAGGCTGAGGTGGGCAGATCACCTGAGGTCAGGAGTTCAAGACCAGCCCGGCCAACATGGTGAAACCCTGTCCCTACTAAAAATACAGAAGTTAGCTGGGCATGGCTCTAATCCTAGTTACTTGGGAGGCTGAGGCAGGAGAATCACTTGAACCCAGTAGGTGGAGGTTGCAGTGAGCAAAGATCATACCACTGCAGGCCTGGGTGACGGTGTGAGACTTTATCTTAAAAAAAGTATTAAAAACATTGTCTAACACAAGATGCATAATACATACAAAATATAAGAATAAATGACCTTTGTAAACTAGGTTCCCAGCACCAAAAGGGCTGGATAACAAATACCTATTAAAGGATTATTGATAGATTGTGCAGTTGGGAGACACTGTAACCCCATTTGGAGGCTTCAGATTCTTTATTCTTTTTTTTTTTTTTTTTTTGAGACGGAGTTTCGCTCTCGTTACCCAGGCTGGAGTGCAATGGCGCGATCTTGGCTCACCGCAACCTCCGCCTCCTGGGTTCAGGCAATTCTCCTGCCTCAACCTCCCGAGTAGCTGGGATTACAGGCACGTGCCACCATGCCCAGCTAATGTTTTGTATTTTTAGTAGAGATGGGGTTTCACCATGTTGACCAGGATGGTCTCGATCTCTTGACCTCGTGATCCACCCTCCTCGGCCTCCCAAAGTGCTGGGATTACAGGCATGAGCCACTGTGCCCGGCCTCAGATTCTTTATTCTTGATCAGAATTAATCTGACCGGATTTCAGGTTACCTCATTTTCAGGTAGATGCTGCAAGGCTGAGCTGGGCAAAGTGATTTGTATTACCTCCAGGCCACAAGCTCCATAAAGTACATGTGAACTCGGGGTCTCTGTGAGTCATGGGGCTGCTTGCAATGTACGGATGATAACAGGAACCTCTAATTTTAGTCAGTTGCTTTTAGAGACCAGAAGCCAGATATAGTTTCCTGGGGCCTCACCTACTTTGTTAAGCAACTTAGCTATAAGTTTAAGAAGCAGCTAAAAACAGGACCAGGGGAGTGAGATGAGCTCAAATGTGCCAGCCTAGCTCCTGGGAGGCCTGTCTCTGGCCCTGGGCTCTGTGGGCTGCCGCAGGAACTGGAGCTTCATTTTCAAAGCTCCATAAAACTTGTACCTTCTCCCAGGCCTCGCTTTTCTGGGTTTCATGGCTCTCTGTGGAATTGAGAGCCTGTGTAATCACAGAATGTGAATGATCAGAGCAGGAAACAGTGAGGAGCCATTAGGACGTTCCCATGGGGTGTAGCTCAGAGTTACAGAGCACAGTTGCACCCTGGTTTCTTCCAGGCCTCTTCTTTTCTGGCACCGCAGACCAGATGGGGTCCTGGAGAGGCTCTGCGTGCCCTGCTGGAGCTTCCCAACACTCCTTTCTGCAGATGCTCCTCTTAACAGCCCCTCTGTACCACTCAGCCCAGTACCCGCCTGCCTGGCTGACTGGATATGGCTCCACTGGAGCTTTTTGGGCGTGGGTTGAAAGGGATTTTTTTTTTTTTTAATTTAAGCAGTTGCATTCCATCTGCCTACACACTCTCGGGCTTTGTGAACTAAGCTTTGTGACCTTTGTAGGTTACTTCACCACACCAGTCCATATCTTCTCCACAAAAGAGTTTCAAGTGTACTTGACAAAATGAGATCAGTGTGCCCCTGTGCCTGTGTAGTGGGTGCTCTGGAAGTATCACTAATAGGGACCTGCATAAGGGTCTGCCCTTCACCAAGCACTCTGGATAAATTATCTTATTAATCCTCAGAGCAAAGAGGCCAAGTGTGTATTTTCAAAGCAGCCTTTTGTAGTGAGGAAACCAAGATGTAGAGAGAAGTACTTGGCCATACTCACACCACTGGTTAGGTGGGCCTCTGGAGACTCACACCCAGGTCTGTCCAACACCAAAGCTTGTGCCCATCTATCAGGCCACCCTGGCCTTCTGCCCTCTTTAACTCTCCATGGATGAAAACTGTCGGCCAGTGAGTGATATTTTTCTGGCTTACAAAGCAGCCCTCTCTGTTGATTTCCCAGAGAGTTGGGATTTGGGGGGAATTCTGAAAGGTTCAACAAATTATTAGACTTCTCTTAATCGTTTTCTTAAAGGATTTTATCATTTTGTACCTGGAGTGTCAGGACTAAATTATGTTTTGTTTGAATGTGCTGAATTTGAGGACATTTCTTAGTTTAATCATGTACAAGGAATTGGAATTAGTACAAGTTGCAATATCTGTAGCAATCTGCCCATTTCTCCCTCACACAAGGCTGAGTGAGGACAGAGCTGAGTGTCAATCAAGGTGTCGGTAAATAATGCCACTATGTGGGAATTTGTTCTGTGAGATGCTGTTCTGCCCAGCTGGTTTAACTGACTGAATACTTCAGGTGCCTAGATTGAAATGCTACGCTCCAGTTATCCCGTATGGAGGCCACGCTAGAAAGCCCCAGCAGTTTTATATCTTTATTTACATTTATTTATGATTTATTTTTCCTATTCTTATGTAAGCTTCAAAAAATCTTTTTTTTAAATTTTATATTTATTTCCAGAGACTGACCTTTGATCAAAAAATCTTTAGTTGTTTTGTTTGTTTGTTTGTTTTATGTTAAGAGAAGAGATCCGGCTAGGTGCCGTGGCTAATGCCTGTAGTCCCAGCACTGTGGGAGGCTGAAGAGGGTGGGTTGCTTTTCAGGAGTTTGAGACCAGCCTGGGAAACATGGTGAAACCCTGTCTCTACAGAAAATACGAAAATTATCTGGGCATGGTGGCTCACACCTGTGGTACCAGCTACTGGGGAGGCTGAAGTGGGGCTTGAGCCTGGGAGGCAGAAGTTGTAGTGATCTCAAATTGCGACACTGCGCTCCAGCCTGGGTGACAGAGCAAGACCCTGTCTAAAAAAAAAAAAAAGGGTCTCACTGTGTTGCCCAGGCTGTTCTCAAACTCCTGACCTCAAGTGACCCTCCCACTTTGGCCTCACAATGCGTTGAGATTACAGGCGTGAGCCACCACACCCAGACTCAGCAGCTTTCTGTTTGTCAGATATACAAACATGCCCCAGCTCTGCCCTCCCAACACGCACGCGTGCACGCACAGTATCAGAGACCTGAAAAGGATACCCTGGTGGTGGTGGAGTGGAGGTTTGGGGGATTTTTTTTTTTGAGATGGAGTTTCACTCTTGTTACCCAGGCTGGAGTGCAATGGCGCAATCTCGGCTCACCGCAACCTCTGCGTCCTGGGTTCAGGCAATTCTCCTGCCTCAGCCTCCTGAGTAGCTGGGATTACAGGCATGCGCCACCATGCCCAGCTGATTTTTTGTATTTTTAGTAGAGACGGGGTTTCACCATGTTGACCAGGATGGTCTCGATCTCTTGACCTCGTGATCCACCCGCCTCGGCCTCCCAAAGTACTGAGATTACAGGTGTGAGCCACTGCGCCCGGCCGAATTTTTTTTTTTTAAAGAGACGGGGTCTCGCTATGTTGCCCAGGCTGGAATGCAGTGGCTATTCACAAGTGCAATCCCACTACTGATCAGCACGGGAGTTTTGACCTGCTTGGTTTCCGACCTGGGCTGGTTCACCCCTCCTTAGGCAACCTGGTGGTCCCCTGCTCCCAGGAGGTCACCATATTGATGTCGAACTTAGTTTAGACACCCGATCAGCATAGCGCACTACAACCCAGAACTCCTGGGCTCAAGTGATCCTCCCACCTCAGCCTCCCGAGTAGCTGGGACTACAGGCACGCGCCACTGCGCCCGGCTGGGGGAATGTTAATAGTGGTGGTGTGGTGGTTTTTGTTGTGGTATCCAAATCAGAGCATCATGTGGCCTTGAGGGTTTGGAAGGGAGGGGCCATAGTTCAAGAACAAGCAGTAGCTTCTTGGGATCGTATTAGAGACAGGAAAGAGAAAAGAACATGGACAATGTAGAGAATTATAGATCTGGAAAATATCTGGGACAAAGCCGAGGCCCCTGACTTCTCTACGGACCAATCATATGAAAAGAAGGGAGTCATGAGAGACGAGGGGTTAGTTGTGGGTTAAGTTGGGTTTTGGAAAGTCTTTGGGAAGATTGACCAAGGAAGAGGCCCTGGAAGCAGGCTTGAGACCCTTTGGGCTGGGAATTTAGGGGTCCCAGATACTTGGAACATGATCTAGAAAAGGGAACATGGTTTCCAGGTGAACACACCTTTGGACCCAAGATCTCTTGCCTAGAGGAAAGCGGTACAATCAGACAAGAGCCAACGTGAGCCCTCGGAAACATGTAGTCCAGGGTGGGGCCGACTTACTGTGTCCTTACCTGGCAACACACATGCACTGTGTTGCGGCAGAACACAAAGCTAGGAGGCAGAGAACTGGTTCTAATCACGTGTGACCTTGGCCAAGTTACTTTTCTCTCTTGGACTTCATATGTGGTCTTTCCATCCTTTCCACTCCTGAAGATCCGTGACTTAGGGGCCATCAACTTTGTTGTCCCTGAGTGTTTCCAAGAATGCCAACAGTGCCCAGGGCTTTACTCAGCTTGGAGAGAGAGCCTCCCTGTGGTAAGGAGGAAAGTGGCTAGAGCAAGTTAGGGTCTGCAGTGCTAGGATTGGAGATGGCCTCACAAGACAACGTTGCTATACTCATAGCCTTAGGGCAGTGACTGCCTACTTGCTACCTCATCGTCTCCAGCTCTAAAAAAGGCTGGGTGTGGTCGCTCATGCCTGCAATCCTAGCACTTTGGGAGGCCAAGGCTGGCAGATCACCTGAGGTCAGGGGTTCGAGACCAGCCTGACCTAGATGATGAAACCCTGTCTCTACTAAAAATACAAAAATTAGCCCGGCATGGTGGCAGGCGCCTGTAATCCCAGCTACTCAGGAGGCTGAGAAAGGAGAATCACTTGAACCCGGGAGGCAGAGGTTGTAGTGAGTTGAGATCGCACCATTGCACTCCAGACTAGGCAACAAGAGCAAAACTCTGTCTCAAGAAAAAAAGACGCGAAGTACCTTTGACAAAGCAGCACCACCAAGTACAAAGTTTCTTTTATGATTGACCAAAACAATCAGGAAAATGAGTGAAAGGGCCTGGAGGTGAGAGTGAGGAGGGAAAAGAACATCAAACAGATAAAATCCTGTCCTGTTGTCCCAGGACCTTGGTTGGACATCTTGGTCCAGGTGATTCCCACAAGAAAGAGTTTCCTGACCCATTTCGGCCACAGTTTTAGGAAAGCCATTGAGTTTTCATGCCTTAGTTTCTGAAGCAAGTTTACAAGTGACTATTTTGGATAGCAATAAAATTACTGCTTTTCTTTTGTTCACAGAGATGCTGCAATTTGTCAGTAATCAAGTGGGAGAGTTCCCTGACCTGTTTTCAGAGCAGCTGTGTAGCTCCTTTCCTGGCAGTGGTGGTACTGGTGGTAGCAGTGGTGGCGGCAGCGGCAGCAGCAGCAGTAGCACCGGCAGCAGCAATGGCAGGGGCAGCAGCGGCGGAGCTGTGGACTCTGCGATGCCAAGGTCATTTAGCCAGGTCCCATTACCTTCTTTCTCACCCTCAGCGGCTTCCCCACAGGCTCCAGCCCTGCAGGTCAAGGTCTCCCCCACCTCAGTTTCCACCACACCCAGGGCAACTCCTATTCTTCAGCCCCGCCCCCAGCCCCAGCCTCAACCTCAAGCTCAGCTGCAACAACAGACGGTAATGATTACCCCAACATTCAGCACCACCCCGCAGACGAGGATTATCCAGCAGCCTTTGATATACCAGAATGCAGCTACCAGCTTTCAAGGTGATTCAGAAATCAGATATGGTAGGGATTGATTGGTTCCAAAGTTTATGTGCTAGTTTGCAGACACTGTAAATATTTCTGTCCTCTTTGGGAATGACAGGTATATGAATATGGCCCTGTCTGAATGAGTTTCTGATAACTGGCAATAAGAATTGGTGCAGGAGCATGTCACATACTGCAGTTCAAATAGCTTAATAACTATTGTGCCTATTTCAAAAATACTTGGTTAAAAAAATCTAGCACGCATAGTAAACACAGGGCAATCCCGATAAGTAGTGGTAGAGGCTTGAATAAAGTTAAGTTTGAAATTGGCTAAGCGGCAGCCAGATCTCAGCCACCACAGTTGAGAATTATTCATTTGGCACACATCTGAGCATCCACTACTGAATATGACTTTTAATATAGGTGTAGCAGTTTCAAGTAGCAGGCCTCATGCTGGGCCCTCAGTATGTGTTGAGGGAATGGATGACTGAAACGGGCTTGTTCTTTCTGTGATGTGCTGCATCCCAGTGCCTTTTCATCATGTTTTCCTCTGACTCTGTGGGGAGCTCTGGGTGGGATTAGTATTGCCCTGAATTTCAAAGAATCTCATGGTTCTTCAGTGGAGTTGAAGAATTTGGAGGGGGATGTAAAGGCAAAAAGCTGAGACAGTCCTTCCAAAATACACTGAAGTCCAGAAAGGATGGGTAGAAATGAAGCCCCAGGGAGGAGTTGAATCTCAACATCTGTTAACTCCCTTGCTGGGTGCAGTCATTTGCTGATTAGCTTCCCTTTCCTCCACCTTGGCACCCAGAGTAATGAAACAATTTGTACTCATTCCCTCAGAAATTGATGCAGCCCTTATGGGATGTTCTTGTTGTCTAAACCAGCTTGTAAATGGCTACACACATCTTCTTCTTCAGCAGCTGGGGAGTTGGAATCGTTATGAAATACTCCATCCTCAGGTTACTGCTGCAGCTACAGTGGCAGAATGCATTCCTCATCTCTGTGCCTTTTTTCTCCTCTTCTCCCAAGTCCTTCAGCCTCAAGTCCAAAGCCTGGTGACGTCCTCCCAGGTACAGCCGGTCACCATTCAGCAGCAGGTGCAGACAGTACAGGCCCAGCGGGTGCTGACACAAACTGCCAATGGCACACTGCAGACCCTTGCCCCGGCCACGGTGCAGACAGTTGCTGCGCCACAGGTGCAGCAGGTCCCGGTAGGTGGCTGGAAGGGATTCAAGGAGGCACTGGTTGGGGCTGTTAACTGGTCCTTGATTGAAGATGTGGTCTACATACTGAGAAGGACCAGCAAGAGTGTACACAAAGCAGCTTGTAGGACACCAGGATGCACCTATGAGCAGTGTAGAGAGACCTGGCTGGTCCCATATCTGTAGATAGACACTGGCACTCAGGAAAGGCTGGTGCAGTCTTTTACGTACACATGTAATGGGCACAGAACTGAAATGAAATGTGCCAAATTGTTATGTCCCAGATAATTTTCTTTTTCACAGTGGGTTTTTTTTTTTTTTTTTTTGAGACGGAGTCTCACTCTGTCGCCCAGGCTACAGTGGAGTGGCTTGATCTTGGCTCACTGCAACTTCTGCCTCCTGGGTTCAAGCAGTTCTCCTGCCTCAGCCTCCTGAGTAGCTGGGACTACAGCGTGTGCCACCACACTCAGCTAATTTTTATATTTTTAGTAGAGACGGGTTTTCACTATGTTGGCCAGGCTGGTCTCGAACTCCAGACCTCGTGATCTGCCCGCCTTGGCCTCTCAAAGCACTGGGATTACAGATGTGAGCCACCATGGCTTCCATAGTTTTATGTTTTCCATATTTTCTACTCTACTGTAGATGCTGAACATATATTACTTTTGGATTGGCGGAGGGGCATGTGGTGTTTTTGGTTTTTTCTTTTTTGAGATGGAATTTTGCTCTCGTTGCTCAGGATGGAGTGCAGTGGCACAATCTCAGCTCACTGCAACCTCCACCTGCTGGGTTCAAGCGATTCTCTTGTCTCGGCTTCCTGAGTAACTGGGATTACAGGTGCCTGCCACCACACCCAGCTAATTTTTTGTATTTTTAGTAGAGGTGGAATTTCACCGTGTTGGCCAGGCTGGTTTTGAACTCCTGGCCTCAACAATCTACCCGTCTTGGCCTCCCAAAGTGCTAGGATTACAGGCCTGAGTCATTGCGTCTGGCTGGGGGCATGTATTATTTTTATAATCAGAAAAAAATGTCTTTATGTTATATATCATCGTGGACTATATTTTCTTATTAACAAGGTAATTTGTTTTTAAAAATTCAGGTTTATTATTTTTGCTTCTCAGTCGTGTTTCTGGCTTTCCTGAGTCCATCAAAGTCAGACCCTCTCCTCTCTGCCACCCACCCTGCCCATCTCTGCTCTGTTCCTGCTGGGCCACTGGCACCACCCTCCTGAAAGTCTTTTAGCCTTAAAACCCAGGACCTAGCTTGGCGCCATGGCTCATGCCTGTAATCACAGCACTTTGGGAGGCTGAGGCAGCTGTATTTCTTGAGCCCAGGAGTTCAGGACCAGCCTGGGCAACATGATGAAATCCTGTCTCTACAAAAAATTAGCCAGGCATGGTGGCACACACCTGTAGTCCTAGCTACTGAGGAGGCTGAGGCAGTAAGATCACTTGGGCCCAGGAGGTCAGGGCCACAGAGAGCTGAGATTGCGCCACTGCACTCAGCCTGGGCAACAGAGAGTGACCCTATTTCAGTTAAAAAAAAAAAAGAAAAAAAGAAAAGAAAAGCCAGGACCCTCTTTAGCGAGCCCTGCTTTCTCCCACTGAACCCAGTATTCAGCCTGTACAAAATAACTTTTGAAATGACCTTTATGATTCTCAATTTCATAAAAATTATATCATTTCTCATTCTTTCTTGGAAGGTCTGTGCAATGAGAAAGGAATGCAAAACAGAAGGATAATGCTATCATCCTTTTCCTTTTTTTCCTTCTTCATTCAGGTCCTGGTCCAGCCTCAGATCATCAAGACAGATTCCCTTGTTTTGACCACACTGAAGACAGATGGCAGCCCTGTCATGGCTGCAGTCCAGAACCCGGCCCTAACCGCCCTCACCACCCCTATCCAGACGGCTGCCCTTCAAGTACCAGTAAGAGCTGCCTTCTTCCCCTTCCTCCTCCCTCCCCCTTCATTCCTGGAGGTGTTAGTCTTCAGAGATGTTAAATCTCTATATGCTGAGTAGGTATGGGAAGTTCTGTAGCATGAATCAGTCGAATTGTAAATGTCACCCCTCTTAGTCATTTTTTCACTTGAAAAAGTATTACCAATGTGTGTTAGATGTGGGAATACTGGGGTTTACAAAAGGGTAGTAAAGGATAGCAGAAGGACTTGTTCTTGCCTAATAGCTCCACATAAGATCATTCACCTCTTAAGTCCTGCTGATGGCTTCTGAAGGGGCCTAGGGCTACCGGGCAGGGAAGGGCTCCAAGGTAAGGTACATGGAAGGCACCCCATCCTTCAATTTTAGGTTCTCAGCTGCTTTCAGCATCCTATAGCATGAGAATCTGATAGAGCAAATGGTGATTGAAATTTGGAAGCACTAGCTTTATTCATAAAAGCCAAGAACTAGAAGCAACTCAAATGTCCAGCCACAGAAGAATAAGCACATTGTGATATATTCATACAATGAAATTATGCCTAGCAATTAAAAAAAAGAACTGCTGGCCAGGCACAATGGCTCATGCCTGTAATCTCAGCACTTTGGGAAGCCAAGGTGGGTGGATCAGCTGAGGTCAGGAGTTTGAGACCAGCCTGGCCAACATGGTGAAACCCCATCTCTACTAAAAATATAAAAATTAGTGGTGCATGCCTGTAGTTCCAGCTGCTTGGGAGACTGAGGCAGGAGAAGTGCATGAACCTGAGAGGTGGAGGTTGCAGTGAGCCGAGATTGCACCACTGCACTCCAGCCTGGACGATAGAGTGAGACTCCATCTCAAATAAATAAACAAATAAAATTACATGGAGCTGTCCCTCAAAAATAGTGTGTTTAGCCAAAGGAGCCTATCACAAAAGAGTTCATGCTAATGTTTCCATTTATATGAAGTTCAAAAAAAGGCAAAATGAAGCTGTGGCGCTAAAAGTCAGGACAATGATGACAAGGAGGGGAGGGGCGTGCAGGAACCTTATAGAAATGGTCTATATCTTGGTCTGAGTGAGTGGTTACATACATTGTGTACATATGTAAAATTCATCAAGCTATAAACTTAAGATTTGTGGTTTTTATTGTGCATGACTTGTTTGCAACTAATGAAATTGAGCACCTTTTAATTTATTTACTGGCCATTTAGATATTGAGGCCATTATTTAAGAAAATAAACTAAAATTGGGCTGGGGCCAGTGGCTCACGCCTATAATCCCAGCACTTTGGGAGACTGAGGCAGGCGGATCCCCTGAGGTCGATAATTCAAGACCAGCCTGGCCAACATGATAAAACTCCATCTCTACTAAAAATACAAAAATGAGCCAGGCATCGTAGCAGGCGCCTATGTTCCCAGCTACTCAGGAGACTGAGGCAGGAGAATCACTTGAACCTGGGAAGTGGAGGTGGTAGTGGGCTGAGATCACACCACTGCACTCCAGCCTGGGCAACAGAGAGAGACTCTGTCTCAAAAAAAAAAGCGGGGGGCTGGGGGCGGAGGTTCACGCCTGTAATCCCAGTACTTTGGTAGGCTGAGGTGGGCGGATTACCTGAGGTCGGAAGTTTGAGACCAGCCTCAACAACATGGAGAAATCCCATCTCTACTAAAAATACTATATTTTTAGGATGTGGTGGCGCATGTCTGTAATCCCAGCCACTCTGGAGGCTGAGACAGGAGAATTGCATGAACCTAGAAGGTGGAGTTTGCGGTGAGCTGAGATTGTGGGCAACAAGAATGAAAATCCATCTCAAAAACTCTGTCTCAATAAAAAAAAAGGAAAGAAAATAAAATTAGAAAAAGTAAGAGGGGAAAACAGAGATGAAGAATAAAAGGGAGGGACCTCCATGGTTGGCCTATTTACTTAATCAAATGGCTCTGATAGAGAGTGTCACTTCTGCCCTTGAGCTTTTTGATGGCCAAATTGTATAAAGAAATGCAGTAATTTGCTTAATTGTCATTTGAGAGGAAAAATGTGTCATATACTAGGAGAGAGTTTTCTCTGGTGCCAACTTGTGGTTCACCGTGTACAAGTTTAGAGGTGGTTAACAGTTTGACAGCAAAGCAGAAATCATATGACTTGTTTCTGGCATACCTAGATCAAAAGTTAAAACATATTTAGCCATGTTAATCCTCTTGTGGTGTAGTTTATTAAAGGCGATTTTTTCTTTTGAAACGAAGTCTCACTGTTGTTGCCCAGGCTGGAGTGCAGTGGCGCGATCTCAGCTCCGTGAGATCTTGGCTCACTGCAACCTCCGCCTCCCAGGTTTAAGTGATTCTCCTGCCTCAGTCTCCGGGTACACGCCACCACGCCCAGCTAATTTATTTTTATTTTTTTGTATTTTTAATAGAGATGGGGGTTTCGACATCTTGGCCAGGCTGGTCTCGAACTCCTGACCTCTTGATCCACCTGCCCCAGCTTCCCACAGTGCTGGGATTACAGGCATGAGCCACCGCGCCCGGCCTTGATGGTGATTCTTAAAGGGAGGTAGTAACCGAGGTATCGTGGCTCCTGAGACTTCTTGGGGCCTGACTTGATTAACCGAGGAAGAGTCCCAGATCTCATGAAGTACTGCCAGGTGTGGCAACATTTGGCCAGGGTGGGCAGGTCTGTGTTGAGGTTGCTTTACTTAGGCTAACAAAGGGATCATTCTGCTCTGTACCTGTGCCTGTTCTAGACCCTGGTGGGCAGCAATGGGACCATTCTGACCACAATGCCTGTAATGATGGGGCAAGAGAAAGTGCCCATTAAGCAGGTACCTGGGGGAGTCAAGCAGCTTGAGCCCCCCAAAGAAGGAGAAAGGCGGACAACGCACAATATCATTGAGAAACGATATCGCTCCTCCATCAATGACAAAATCATCGAATTGAAAGACCTGGTCATGGGGACAGATGCCAAGGTGGGTGCCAAGCAAAATCGTGTTTTATGCCTCACCATCTCCCATCTACCTGCTTTTGCTTCAAAAGCTTAGAGAAGTCCCAGGCTCAAGATAAGTGAATACAAGAACGAGTTAGAGGTGCTTGTGTCAAAATTATAAAATATTAAGAAACAGCAGGGGACTGGTGAGGGTTGTTAAGGCAGTGACCCACTGAGACCTTTGACTCCCGGCTATGCTCTGCAGTGATGGGGGACCCCATTGTCAGAGGCAGAGAAAGATGCCTGCACTCACTATTTCCAGTACAGGACTGTGTGTACTTGGAGTCAGCTGATGGCATAGTTTTAGCTGTGTTTAGGGGTTACCTTTTAGGGAAAAGAAAGAAAAAACGTTGAGTCTTTGACCAACAGGAAATAGAGGAAATTGACTTTCCAAATGCTTCTGGTGTTTCAATGAATGTGTCATCTAGAAATAGGAGATTTTATTTTTAAAACCTATTATCTATTTTTAAACCCTATTTTGAAAGAAAATTGTATTATTTTCCTTGTCTACAAATCTGAAAGGTACACATCTTAAGTAAAAATATAGGCCTTAAGATAACTGTCCAAAAATGCTGTGGTTGTTTCATTTGTTTTCCTTAAAGTTTGTTTTGGTGCTAAGACTATTATAAGTAGGAACAATAGCTAGTATTTATTTATTGAGTTTCAACTATTTGCTAGGCTTGAGGCTAAGCTCTTTACGCTCATTATCTCATTTAGCCCTCGGGGCAGCGATTCACATTATCTCCATGTTAAGGAGGAGGAAAGTGAGGTTCAGAGATACAGAATAACTTGTCCCTGGTAGCACAGCTAATCACTGGGAAGGCCAGCACCTGAACTTGGTTTCTCCCCTCACAGAGCCATGGCCTCAACCCAAGTGCTAGGGCTCTGCTCTCTTCACCCTGTAGCCTGCACTAGTCTCACTGTGTTTTCCCTTGTCTTCCTTCCCAGATGCACAAGTCTGGGGTTCTGAGGAAGGCCATTGATTACATCAAATACTTGCAGCAGGTCAATCATAAACTGCGCCAGGAGAACATGGTGCTGAAGCTGGCAAATCAAAAGAACAGTAAGTGTGCTCGCTGAGAAAAGGATTGTCAGACCATCCTGTGTTGGGCACTGGGCAGGGCCCACAGACGTGCACGAGACCTAACCAGGCCCAGCCCCCGCCCAGGTGGGGCTTTCTAAAAGCAGATCATTTTCACCAGCTGGGGTTTTCTTTGCAGAGCTTCTAAAGGGCATCGACCTAGGCAGTCTGGTGGACAGTGAGGTGGATCTGAAGATCGAGGACTTTAATCAGAATGTCCTTCTGATGTCGCCCCCAGCCTCTGACTCAGGGTCCCAGGCTGGCTTCTCTCCCTACTCCATTGACTCTGAGCCAGGAAGCCCTCTTTTGGATGATGCAAAGGTACAGACTTTTGAAATCTCTTCATCCCTGGAATCTTTCCCATTTCCCCTAAAAAAGTAGCTGGGAGGCCACAGTTAAGCGGCCAGGCCACATGTTCAGAGGGCCTAGCCTGGAGAGGATCAGGAATTCTGTTAAATTAGCCAGGTCCTGGAGAATAAAGAAAACTGACTCTGTGGGGGAAACAGTCCCTCAGGTTTAACTGATCTTTGCTGATGGGCCCCGTCAGAGAGAAATGAGTACCAGATCCAGAATGAGAATTCGAAGTAGCTGTTTTGGGGGCGTTGGGAGCTGCTAGAGGCGCCTCATTGCTTCGCTCTGCCTTTAATGGGCCTGGCAAGACCACTTTGGGAGGCTGATCAGTTGGTTTAGGATGAGGCTGCCTCTGGGTCTTCTTTTCAGAAATGTTTACAGCTTGCAGCCTAACAGATAACATTTCACCTAGGACCTTCAATCGTCAAAGAAAGCCCCTGGTAACTGTAGTTTAATGGAATTACTTAAGAGAGGCTCTGAACCTAATGATCTTGCTGGGAACCTGTACAGACCACTGGGTTCTGTAGTGTATTTTGACATTGGCAGTTTCTGACTCTGAAAGCACAAAGTTCCCTTCTAGTTTTTTTTTTTTGACTAAGCTGTTTATTGTATCATATACTTTATTTTACTAAGGAAGCTCTGTTTTTGAAACATTCTTATAAATGTGATTCTGTTTGGTAACAACAGGCTGTTTGACATATAAATTGAATTAGCTGGGCTTCTGAGTCATCAGAAGAAATCTTAAATGGTTTTAAAAAATTGAAAAGAGGCCGGGCGCGGTGGCTCACGCCTGTAATCACAGCACTGTGGGAGGCCAAGGCGGGTGGATCACGAGGTCAAGAGATCGAGACCATCCTGGTCAACATGGTGAAACCCCGTCTCTACTAAAAATACAAAAATTAGCTGGGCATGGTGGCGCATGCCTGTAATCCCAGCTACTCAGGAGGCTGAGGCAGGATAATTGCCTGGACCCAGGAGGCGGAGGTTGCAGTGAGCCGAGATCGCGCCATTGCACTCCAGCCTGCGGAACAAGAGCGAAACTCTGTCTCAAAAAAAAAAAAAAAAAAAAATTGAAAAGAAGTGACATGCTATATACACATTGAGGCTCAGGGGAGATCTGGTTCCAGCCCTCCTGCTATAAAATGAGGAGTAGGGTGGGTGTAGACAATGGTAGGGTTTTAGAACAGGTAAAATCCTTTAGATGGATTCACACTAAATACAGTCTTTGATCAACTTTATTGAGGTATAATTTTTTTTTTTTTTTTTTTAAATGGAGTTTCGCTCTTGTTACCCAGGCTGGAGTGCAATGGCGCAATCTCGGCTCACTGCAACCTCCACCTCCTGGGTTCAGGCAATTCTCCTGCCTCAGCCTCCTGAGTAGCTGGGATTATAGGCACGCGCCACCATGCCCAGCTAATTTTTTTTTGTGCTTTTAGTAGAGATGGGGTTTCACCATGTTGACCAAGATGGTCTCGATCTCTTGACCTATCCACCCACCTCGGCCTCCCAAAGTGTGGGGATTACAGGCGTGAGCCACTGCACCCGGCCCAAGGTATAATTTAAATGCAATAAAATACACCTACTTTAAATGTACAGGACCAAGAGTTTTAACATAATGTACAGTACTGTGTAACTATCAGTTTAATCAAGATGTAGAACATTTCCATCACCCCAAAAAGTGCTTTGTACATCTTTGCAGGTAGTTTCCCACACCACTCTCCAGCCTCAGACAATGACTGATTCATTGGTTTACTGTTACTTTAGATTTGTTTTACTTGTTCTGGAATTAGACAGAAACAGAGTCATACAGTGTGTTCTCTTTTGTGGTAGAGCTCTATTTTAAAAGAATCTCTCTTCTACCTTTGTTCTTCGGAACACGTACTTTTCTCAGTTAGCAAGCAGGTGAATGTGCCAATATTTGGGCACAGTTAGTGAATTATAGGCTTCTCAGTTCCCATCTGGCTTTAGTCCTGAGTTAATGGACTTGAATTTAAACCTTATAACCATTTCTCAATATATGTATGTATTTATAAAGTGCTATAAAAACCTATGCAGTATTTATTCCAACCTTGAGGCCTTGTTTTGAAGGTCAAAGATGAGCCGGACTCTCCTCCTGTGGCACTGGGCATGGTAGACCGCTCACGGATTCTTCTGTGTGTCCTCACCTTCCTGTGCCTCTCCTTTAACCCCTTGACCTCCCTGCTGCAGTGGGGAGGGGCCCACGACTCTGACCAGCACCCACTCTCAGGCTCTGGCCGCAGTGTCCTGTCATTCGAGTCAGGTAGGTGGAGGCACCTTGCATCACCTGGGCGTGGCTGGAGCACTCTGGCAGCAGAAGGACCCTGTGTACAGACTTCTCAGCTTGGCTACCAGGTCCCAAGGGGCTTTTATGGTGGGCCGCCACCTGCTTACTTCTGATAGGGACTGGAAAAAGTTGCATTTTGGAAGTAACAAAGCAAGCCCAAGTTTAGTCAGAATGAGCAAAACAAATCAGGAACTTACACTAAATACCCTGGGGTGGAGGGGTGGTACCTATTTGAAGGAGGATATGGTGTTTTTTACCTGAGTGGCAAAACCAGTGCCTTAACCCCCCTTACAAGCTAAAAGATTTTTGTGGTACTTGGCTCCATAATGACAAGGGCTACAGTCATTAGCCCTGTTTAGATTATAGAATTACTTGCCCCTCTTTCTGAGAATGAAGTAGAAGCCTCTTCCATGTGATAATGTGCTGGGGTCTGTCAGGTGCCTGGCTGCTCTGCAAGGCCTTTCCTGGCAGGCTCTGCTGAGACACTCCTCCTTAGGTTCTGGGGGCTGGTTTGACTGGATGATGCCTACTCTTCTCTTATGGCTGGTAAATGGTGTGATTGTCCTGAGCGTCTTTGTGAAGCTGCTGGTCCATGGGGAGCCAGTGATCCGGCCACACTCTCGCTCTTCGGTCACCTTCTGGAGGCACCGGAAACAGGCAGACCTGGATCTCTCCAGAGTGAGTTCTGTGACCGCCCTGCCCCATCCTCCACAGACTTGACCAATAATTCAGCAACTCATGTTGAATCCTCCCTGTGAAGAAAGTCCTGTGATAGATGCTTGTGGTGACTGAGAGGAAAAGGGGACCCTGCTGCTGAATAGTCACAGGGCAGTGGAGAGGGCGTCTGTGCATAATTAATTCCAGGGACATAAGAGGATCTATGTCTCTGGTATGACAGAGGAAGAATAAAGTTGAGTTCTGAGGGAGGGGTTCTAGGGCTTGAGCGGGGCTGCCAAGAGCAAGAAGGAAGGGCAGGCAGGACAGAAGAACCTTCCAACCCGAAGGCATGAATAGACAGGCTGTTTGGAGACTGGCAGGTTCCAGGGTGTGTTGAGTGTGGGATATGTCAGAGAGAGAGGAAGGCAAAGGCTGATAGTGTGTCTAGGCCCAAATTGGAGAGGGCTTTCACTAGGAACTGATTTGGGGCTTTATTCTCAGTTCTCTAAAGAACCAGAAAAGGTTTTTGAGTAGGAAAACCAGCTGAAAGTTTTCATTTGAAATCAACAGGGAATTTATGGAAAAGATTCTGGGGCAACTCACAGCATTGAAGGAAGAGTTAAATATCCACATTTCAGGAGGAACAAGAACCAGAACACTCCTCAGCAGCAGCGAGCCATGAGCCTGCTCTCCCTGCCTCTCCAAGCTGCAGGCTCATTAGTGAGAATCTAATTGGCCATCCTAGATCCGTCAGCCTTGCTGGGGCTATGGGTCTCAGAATATAGATGTGATTTTAAGAGGCCTGTTCCCAGGGCATAACATCCCAAGATGTATAGCCTAGTGGCAGGCTTAGGTGTGTGTCTTACAGGCATCATTCTAGTGGCTGTGAAGGATAGATAGGAGGGAGATGTGAAATTCATGGAACCTAGAAACAAGTTAGGGACTTTTTTTTTTTTTTTTTGAAGTAGAGACAAGGTCTTACTATGTTGCCTGGCTGGTCCCAAACTCCTAGGCTCAAGTGATCCTCTCACCTTGATCTCCCAATGTGTTGGGTTATGATCTACCACGCCTGGCTGAGTCAGGGGGCTCTTGAAATAGACTAAGTAAGAGATGATGGCAAGGAACTGGAATTAAAATGAAAGGTTTGAACTGAATAAATATTTGAAATGTAATATTTGGAAAGGAAGTGATAGTGACATTGACGCAAGGACCAGAGAGGCTGGAAGATGGAGCAGACTCCATCTAGGCCACGTTGCCTGGAAAAGCTGGGAGAGGCCTCTGTAGCAAGAGCAGTGATTGGGAGGCAGGCCATGGGGACTGAGGCGGGGCAGTGCCAGAGTGCTGGGAAGCGTGTCTGTCAGGAGAGTGTTCTTAGGGAGAACTGGACTGGGGAGTCAAGAGGGGTGAGAGCCGAAGACTGGGACCTAGGAATAGCCCACCGTTGAGAGAAAGGCAGGGGAGGAGCCAGGGAGCACCTGCCTCTTTTGGGATCTGCAAGTGCAGGTCCTTCTGGCTGAAAAGATAGAGCCACCTTAGAGACTGTTGCCCTCAGGACATCTTTTCTTTTCCCTTGTCCAGTCCAGTAATGATATGGGAAGCAAAGCACAGATAGTATACCAGCTGCCTAATAGAGGAAAAGAGGAGAATTTACTTCAGTTTCCCAAGACTTTATAGCCTGCCTTCTAGTTCCCAACAATAAGAAAGCAAGTTGTCTTGAGAACGGTGTAGTAGACTCTCTATTAGACCCTCCGAGATTGACAAAGATGAGTTCATCTGAATCCTAGGGTAGGATAGTTTAGCTGTGAGTTTGCCTAAAACTCTGATTCTTAAACTTTAGCAGGCAAGAAGCCAGGTGCTGTGGCTCATACCTGTAAATCCCAGCTACTGAGGAGGCTGAGGTGGGAGGACTGCTTGAGCCCAGGAGTTCAAGAGCAGCCTAGGCACCATAGCAAACCCTTATCCCTAAAAATGAAAAGAAAAACATTAGCAGGCATGGCATGAGAATCACCTTGAAGGCTGCCAGAGGTTCTGATTCAGTAGCCCTGGGGTAAGGTCCAAGTGCTTGCATTTCTAACAAGCTCCTAAGAGCTGATGCTACTGGCCTCTGGGGGCCACACTTTGAGACCCTGAAAGCCTAAAGGATCATGCAGTTTATCTAAATCTGTGTCACCATCTTATGTCTAAAAGCTACTGTTGGCCAGGTGCAGTGGCTCACACCTGTAATCCCAGCAGTTTGGGAGGCTGAGATGGGTAGATCACTGCCTCCGTGAAGATGGTTTGAGACCAGCCTGACCAACATGGTGAAACCCCGACTTTACTAAAAATACAAAAAAAAAAAAAAGCTACTGCGAGGGAACTCTGACCAGCAGTTGCTCAAAGAAAGAACACAATACAATCTCAATTGAGTAAAAAGCCTGGAAGGAAATACCTCAAAATGTCAGCAGGGATTCTTTCTGGGGACTGAGATTGTGGATTGTTTTGTTTTACTTTCTTCTAGCTTTCTGAAGTTTCCCTCATTTTTATAATGAGTATACATTAATCCCTCTGATGACGGGAGGTGGGGGGAATAGAAGTCTATCAAAACAGAAAGCCAGAGCAAGGCCAGTGACCATTAACACCCTCTTGATACTTTGTAGGGAGATTTTGCAGCTGCTGCCGCCAACCTGCAAACCTGCCTGGCAGTTTTGGGCCGGGCACTGCCCACCTCCCGCCTGGACCTGGCCTGCAGCCTCTCCTGGAACGTGATACGCTACAGCCTGCAGAAGCTACGCCTGGTGCGCTGGCTGCTCAAGAAAGTTTTCCAGCACCGGCGGGCCACACCAGCGACCGAGGCAGGCTTTGAGGACCAAGCTAAGACCAGCGCCCGCGATGCGGCTCTGGCCTATCACCGGTTGCACCAGCTGCACATCACAGGTGAGGGGGTGGCAGCTGCCTGGCTTGCTACAAGGCTTCTTGTGCTACCTCACCTCCTTAGCTTGATTTGCCAGTTCTGCACCCTAGTTGAAGCCCCTTTAACGCTGCTCTTTTAGAGTGGCTGGACCAACCTTCTGCCTGTTTCCATAGATGTAAGGATGGCTTGTTGCTTTAGCTCGTCAGTTCTCAGATCCGCTTGTTTTCATGAAATCATCACTATACTCAGGATGTGTCCTATAAACAGTGGCACATTGTAGATAAGTTGGCAGTGTTTTTCTTTAGTGATACTTAATGGTGAGACTTAAAATTGATGACATCTTAAATTCAATGAAATATGATCATTTATTTCATTCCATAAGCTCCTGCTGTAATAGAAAGGCAGAGAGATCAGCAAGTGAATGACAGTTCAGTGTGAATATGTCAGACTTAGCTAAAGGAACATGTTTTTGTTGGGAGGGAGTGGGTACCCGTTGGGTAGGGTTTCAAGAAAGGCTTTCTGGGAAAGTGACGTCTTGGCTTTGCATAGAAGGATGCTCTGCAGGAGATGACCCTTCTGGGCAGAGGGATGTTCCCAAAGAGGAGCCCCACCTGCGGTGGCTCTTGAGAATAAGCCTTCAGTGGTCCTAAAGGGAGCCAGGGCACAAGGGCAGTGCTCAGACCATGATGGATCTGGATACCAGCCGGGGGATCTTGTAGTGTATCAGAAGGATTCAGTGAAAAGCATTAGGAAAATAATGATATGATCAGATTTCTGCTTCTCAAGTTTAGAAGAGTCAGGCCAGGCCTGGTAGCTGACTCGCGCCTGTAGTCCCAGCACTATGGGAGACCAAGACAGGAGGATCACTTGCACTCAGGAGTTGCAGTCCAGCCTTGACAATGTGGTGAAACCCCATTTCTTCAAAAAATACAAAAATTAGCCAAGCGTAGTGGTACATACCTGTAATCCCAGCTACTGGGGAGGCTGATGGAGAATTACTGGAGCCTAAGGGGTCAGGGCTCCAGTGAGCTGAGACTGCACCACAGCACTCCAAAAAAAAGTTTAGAAGATTCACTCTGATGGCAGATAAGGAGTGGATCCCAGAGGAGTTAGGGAAGCCAAATAGAAGCTGTTGCAGATTGAAGATGAGAGATGCTGAAAGGACAGTTGAGAGGAAAGTAGAAGGTGGATTGATTGGACTGATAGATGAAGAAAGGAGTCAGCTAAGATGGTTCCCTGGTTCTTCCTTGGGAGTTTGCGTGAATCGTGGTGCCACCAACAAAGGTAAGGACAACAAGGAAGAGAAACTTTCCAGGGAAAAGATGATGAGTTCCCTTTTGGACACTTGCTTGTGAGATGTGGAGGGGAGGTGGACATGCAGGATCTGCAGCCAGAGACCTACAGGTGAGCGTGAAAAGCAAGGGAGCTGATGAGAGTGGATGTGGTGAAAAGAAGACCCTCAGGGCCATTCAGAGGAACACCCACATGTAAAGATAAGCTGGGTGCAGTGGCTCATGCCTGTGATCCCAGCACTTTGGTAGGCCAAGGCAGGTGGATCACTTGAGGTCAGGAGATCGAGACCAGCCTGGCCAACTTGGCGAAACCCCATCTTTACTAAAAATACAAAAATTAGCTGAGTGTGGTGGCGCACGCCTGTAATCCTGGCTACTTGGGAGGCTGAGGCAGGAGAATCACTTGAACCCAGGAGGTGGAGGTTGCAGTGGGCTGAGATTGTGCCACTGCACTCCAGCCTGGGTGACAAGAGTGAAACTCTGTCTCAAAAAAAAATAAAAATAAAAGAACAGATAGAGGCTGGCACAATGGTTCACATCTGTAATCTCAGCCCTTTGGGAGGTGAAGGCAGAAAGTTCGCTTGAGCCCAGGAATTTCCCAGTAGCTGGGAAACACAGGGAGACTCATTGCTACAAAAAAAAAATTCAAAAAATTGACTGGTCTTTGTGGCGTGCACCTGTGGTCCCAACTACTTGAGAGGCCAAGGTGGGAGGATCACTTGAGCTTGGGATGTACGTCGAGGCTGCAATGAGCTGTGATCGTGCCACTGTACATGCACACAGAAATGAACAGATAGAAGACGAGGAGTTAGGGGCAGAGGCTGCCTGAGAGGAGCAGTTGGAAAGGTCTGAGGAGACAGAGAGGCTTAGTGTTGGAGGAGCAAGGGCAGAGGGTTGAGGAGGGGAGATTGTTGCAGGGACACCCAGTAAGATGAGGGCCAGGAATAATAGTAGGATGTGGTAACTGGAAGGTGTTGGATGCCCTGGTGGCTGCAGGGAGCTTCAGCCAAAAGTGGAACAGAGCCAGGCAAGTGATGCAGGAGTGACCAGGAGATGACACAGTGGGGCCAGTGTGCAGCTTTAATATGTGGGCTCATGGTAGAGTTTTAGCAGAAGATCCCTATCTGCAGGTTTGCCCTGCTCTTCTTACCTTGTCTGTTCTTCAGTATGCCCTTGGGACAGAATAAGCGCATACTCATGTCTCTGATCAGGCTGTGTCCTCCTTGCTGCCAAGTTCTGGAGAATTCCAGCTGCGAAGCTTTACATCACTCATTCCCTCCATACTCTCTGACATTCGCTGTGTGAGACACTGAGGGGACAGTGGTAACTACAGTATGGTTGCCACACTGCCCTCTCTCCTCCCTCCTTGTGAAGGGAAAAGCCCAGTGTCTCCTGCAGGAGGAACACCTGAGGCCAGTACAGAATGGAGTGTGAGGCTGAGATGACCCTGTGCTGATGAAAAGACAGGGACGCGAGGCAGCCCAGGAGGAGGAACACAGAGCTGGATGAGCACCGGAAGCCTGGCTTTGCTACTGTCTGCACCCTGACATGGGTACTTCCTGTGGCCGCCCCTGAGGCAAGGAGACCCTGAGGGTCTCCCTTTCACCATATCCACTCTCATCAGCTCCCTTGCTTTTCACACTCACCTGTAGGTCTTTGGGCTGTAGGTCCTGCATGTCCAGCTCCCCTCCACATCTCACAGGCAAGTGTCCAAAAGGGAACCCATCACCTTTTCCTTGCCCTTGTAGTGAGGACCAAAGCAGGCGACAGTATGAAAGCCTCAGGAGAGCTGTGATGGGCGTTTGTGCCTGTGCAAGGATACTTTGTCCCCTGATTAGGGGATCAGCCCCAGATGAGCCACTGTGTACCTCTCATAAGGGAGAGGATAGTATGCCTTCCTGGCTTCCCACCCACTAACCCAACATGTATCTGTCCTTGCTCAGTTTATGTCACTTCCCCCCTCAAAAGGGTGTGTGCTTGCATATTGTGAAGGTGGGTTCTTTTTTGGGGGGACAGAGTCTCTCTCTGTTTCCCAGGCCAGAGTGCAGTGGCGCAATCTCGGCTCACTGCAACCTCCACCTCCCAGGCTAAAGCGATTCTCCTCCCTCAGCCTTCCAAGTAGCTGGGATTACAGGCATGCACCACCACGTCCAGCTAATTTTTTCTATTTTTAGTGGAGATGAGGTTTCACTGTGTTTGCCAGGCTGTTCTAGAACTCCTGGCCTCAAGTGATCCGCTGGCCTCGGCTTCCCATTGTGTTGGGATTACAGATACAAGCTATTGCGCTCAGCCATATTGAGAAGGTTTTTTTAATGAAAATAAATTCAAATCAGTTTGTCTAAAAAAAAAAAAAATGTCATTACCTCTCTTGAATGTTTGGAGACACAGAATATGCCTTTGCTGCTGATGCTGTTTTGGGAAATGTTGCACTGTGCACCTCTGAGTCCCATGCAACAACCTGTAATCGTGACAGCTCTGTGTGCAACAGAACTGGGTGCCATGTTCCCAGCTACCCTGTGAGGTAGACAGGAACACACAGCCAGTACGTCATAGAGCCTGGCATCCTATCCTGTGATCTGGCCTGTCTGATCACAAAGCTCACCTCATTTCTCCCCTGGTTTCTCCCTTACTTTGATTGTACTGGAGAGAGCAGGAAAAAGTTTGGTTTGGGAGATCCAGCAACGATAGTGTCTGTTTCCGCCCACCCTAGGGAAGCTTCCTGCAGGGTCTGCCTGTTCAGATGTACACATGGCATTATGTGCTGTAAACCTGGCTGAATGTGCAGAGGAGAAGATCCCACCAAGCATGCTGGTTGAGATCCACCTGACTGCTGCCATGGGGCTCAAGACGCGGTGTGGAGGCAAGCTGGGCTTCTTGGCTGTGAGTACCCTTCATTTCCCTTCTGTAAACCTCCCCTGAGCACTTACCTAGCCAAGAGCTAAGATGCAAAAGCAGGTATGGGTCGTCTTCACCCTCAGGTGCTGCCCACCTAGAGGGGTAGGCATTCATTCAGTTGCTCATTTCACCAGTACTCCCAGCAACCAATAAAACAGACCAAAATTCCTCCCCTTGTGGCCTTAACAACCATAAGCCTTGTAGGCAGGACATTTTGGTGCCCTGAGGTAATATGAAGATTGGTTAGATACAGATAGCAGAGCTATACTACTTGGGGGTTAATATACAACTTTCTGCTCTTCAGGTGGTCATAAAAATTCTTAGAATCTCTTGGTTATGTCTCCTGTTCTTTTATTTACCCAAAAGGTATTTATTGGGCATCTTGTGTTGATCACAGCACTGTGAATCCAGAAATAAAAGCTAGTGCCTTTGCCAAGCTACAGAGTTAAAGAAAAGAATAAAAATAAAGAAGATCTGTGCCTATCTACAAAGAACTCAGGTCAGACCCAGGGCAGGGATTGTGGTTATCAAGCACCCCCCATATGCCTGGCTAGGAGCCAGCCTTGGGAACTCTCAAATGGGTAATTCCCTCGTCCTTGTTATCAGCTAGTTCACAACATGCTGACCTCAGGCTTTCTCTGTTTCTAGCAGAAACAGGCACGTTTTACTCTGTGCCCCACTGTGGGTAGACTGCTGAATACATCAAGTATGTTCAAAACAGCATTGTCACATTTCTGTTTCTGTATCTCAGTAATGGCAGAGGCAAGCTGAGAATGAATCAGAACGTACCCTGTGGTGACAGTGACATGTTTCCTGAGGTACATCACGATAGTCTAGGTGACAAAGGGCGTGGGGAAGTCCAGTGTACTTTCTGTGTCTTATCTCTGTTTCTGGTGACCACAGATAAGAGATTCATCCCTTGATTCACTCATTCAGCAAAGACAACTGAGCACCCTCTCTAAGTAGGACATTTGCCTTGTTCTCAGGGAGCATACAGTCTGGCAAGGAATATAGACAGCCACCCTTCTAGACTTTGACATTGACCTTCTCATGAGGAGGACTGGGTTCCAGGTGGGGAAAGAACCCCATCCTCACCTGTGGCTAGACAACCTGGGAGTCCACAGACACTGAAGACACATCATTTTTCCTATTCATTTCAACCTTCTCTCAACAAATCTTCCTGGGACCAGGTCTTCAGGACAGTGTGAGCTAGGGTGAGCTCCTGAGCTGATCTTGGGGAAAATCAGGATGGGCTTTCTGGGAAAGGTGAATCTAGGCTGAGAGCACGAGGCATTGATGAGGTCTCTTCCCTATTCGGTGTATTGAAGTGCTCTGGGCTGATGTCATTACATTTGTAACTTCCATGCTCCCCAACAATGTTTAAAAGACATTCATTTTATCAAAACATAACATGTGTGCAGAAGAATGTACACATTTTAACTTATCTTGAAGTAAAGTCACCCATGTAACACCTGCCCACATCAAGAAGTAGGACATTCCCAGCACAGCCTTTCCCACTCTTTCTGCTTCTTCCTGCCCCCAACCAAGGTAACCACTTTTCTGAATTCTGTCACTGTAGTTTAATCTGCCTATTGTTTCTCATTTCAGTAAACTTATCAAAATATACACTTAGAAGTCTGGCCGTGTGCAGTAGCTCACACCTGTAATCCTACCACTTTGGGAGGCTGAGGTGGGCGGATCACCTGAAGTCAGGAGTTTGAAACCAGCCTGACCAGTATGGCGAAACCATTTCTCTACTGAAAATACAAAAATTAGGCCAGGCATGGTGGCACGCACCTTTAATCCCAGGTACCCGGGAGACTGAGGCAGGAGAATTGCTTGAACCCAGGAGGCAGGGGTTGAGTGAACCAAACTTGGCCACTGTGCGCCAGCCTGGGTGGCAGAGTGAGACTCCATCTCCAAAAAATAAATAAATAAATACAAAATACAAAAATTAGCCAGGCATGGTGGTGCACACCTGTAATCCCAGGTACTTTGGAGTTTGAGGCAGGGGAATCGCTTAAACCCAGTAAACAGAGGTTGCGGTAAGGCAAGATTACACCACCACACTCCAGCCTGGGTGACGAAGTAAATGACACTCCATCTCAAAAAAAAAAAAAAAAAAAAGTACAATATACATGTCAAAAAGTGTACAAATCATAAATACACAGTTCAGTGACTTCACAGGGTAAACACATCCATGTAGCCAGCAGACAGCTCAAAGCACAGAGCCAAGACGTTGGAAGCCATTCTTGGGCCCCTTGCTATCCCTAACCTGCAACTTCCCCCAAGCTTTCCAGCCTTCCATGGGTAACCACCATCCCAGTCACCTCAGATGTTTTGCCTCTGTTTAAACTTTATATTAATATAAGGTGAGTCTTGCAGTATGTACTGTTTTGTATCTGATTTTTTTTAATTTATTTATTTTTTTTTGGAGACAGAGTCTCATTCTGTTGCCAGGCTGGAGTGTAGTGGCATGATCTTGGCTCACTGCAACCTCCGATTCCCTGGTTCAAGCAGTTTTCCTGCCTCAGCCTCCTGAGTAGCTGGGATTGCAGGCATGCACCACCATGC